CACCTGGGTCTCCATCCTGCGTGGCAGTCTTGTCCACATCCTGCTGTGGGATTCATGTGCATCTTTGTCCCCAACTTGTCCTCGTCTCTGTGACCTCAGAGGGGCTAAGAATCTCGGTGCAGGATAACCCATGTGATTTGTTCAATGAGAAAACAGAAAAAAACAGAACTTCTGCCCTTTGCTCTACACCAGCTTGAAAATTATTCCCTCCTTTCTACAACTCCAAGGTCAATTTTCCCCTGGGAGCAGCTAAGAAACTAAAGGTCACAAAAAGTTGGCAGTTCACTGTGCCTTGGAGGGCTTCCCAGAAAGCAAAATGAAAATGAGATTGTTTTCACATAAGACCTCTGTATTTGGAGGGCAGGATTCAAACTGTTTGAATTTGCAGTTTCACTGTGCACTTAGGTAACCCCCACAAAGTCCAGTATTGTGTTTTTTTTTCCCCCTCAAGCCAAAACAATATCAAAAACACTTCCTGAAGAGAACTCTAACTAGGCAGAATTCTTTTCTGTCATTGCTGGGCTGATGTTTTCAAGGATTCATTTCTTAAGATAAGTCTTATATGGTGCATTTAGTTGGAACCCTTGTTGATTTCCGGATAATGATGGCTGTCATCCACAGGGCCTGTTTTGTGGTGATCTCATTAGATTTTACAAGGGAAGCAGCTGAAAACCCACGGTTAGTACATAAGCAGGTAGCAAGAACAGAGAAAAGCCAGAGGCTGCCAAGAGATATTACAGAAAGTAGGTTTCTTTCTGACCAAAGGAAAACCCATCTCTCAATTCCAAGGAGATGTACCCTGAAGTTCAAACATATGTTTTTCACAAAATTTAGCTCTGCTTCCTTAATAAGAATTTCAAGTACAGGCAAGAACCAATGGCTAGACTTTCCCAAATGTGACTGTTCTCTACCAAAATTCATCTCTTTTTGTTCCTCTTTGCATAATGGAAGTGTCCTTGAGAAGAGATAATATCATAGAATGCAGTTGCATTGGGAACTTGAAAGCCCAACATGGGCGTGCTGGTCCTGACACCACCACGACCTGCTCTGCGCCTTGGTGCCAATGTCTAAAGTGCTTGCTGAGTGTGTGTGTTGAGTCGCTCAGTCATGTCCGACTCTGTGCGACCCCATGAACAGTAGCCCGCCAGGCTCCTCTGTCCATGGAATTCTCCAGGCAAGAATACTGGAGTGGGTTGCCAGGCCCTCCTCTCTTGCTGGTGACTCAGTTTCAATTCTTTACCATCTACCTCCTCCCTTTGAAGACCCACAAACGTTTATTAACAGTTCTTCATCACTCCTGCAGTTGTCACTCACTCTTTCCCAGAAACACATTAGAGACTATTTTTGAAACAAGAGTAAGTCATCTTGAAGGTTTTAAACCTTCTACAGGTCTTAAATCAAATCACAGCCTCCTTAGCATCTCCTGTTTGGGTCTGTTTGTGTGGATATATATACTTTTAATTATGTGTACAGTCTGCTAAAGATTATGCATGCTCAATAAATATTCACTGGTGATGGTAAATTAGTAATTGACTGTAAATTTAGTAGAAAAAGTGATTTATTTAAAAAAAAAACTCTTTGGCATTTCCAGAGATGACGAAAAAGTAAACTAGAAGTATTAACTGTCTTGGAGGGGAGGCGGGACTGGGGGATGGTGCCTTGAGGGTTACTCTCCCTCCTGCCATCTGGGAACAGATTGGCCGAGCAGATTAAAGATCCTGGTTGTATTCAATTTTGCTGCTATTATTTGCTAATCGTACAACCCTCAGCAAGTCACTTCAGCTCTCTTGGCCTCAATTTCTCTTTTTCAAAAGTAGTTTTTATCATTCTTAATGTCTCCTCTAGTTTTAATATTCTGTCTTCTAAGAAAAACTGGAGAAATTAAGCTGGGAAAGCTCTTTTAAAAATGGACACGGTGGGGAAAAGAAGGATGGAGGAGCGGAGAGTAGCACTGGCATATACACACCTCCGTGTGTGAAGCAGACCACTAGCGGGTAGGTGCCGCGTGGCCCAGGGACCTGAGCCCTGCACTGTGATGGCCTAGAGAGATGGAGTGGGGTGGGGGCGAGGAGGAGGCTCAAGAGTGAGGGGACACATGTGCTCCAGTGACGCAGACGGTTAACAGTCCACCGGCAATGCAGGAGACCTGATTTCCATCCCTGGGTGGGGAAAGATCCCCTGGAGAAGGGGACGGCCACCCACTCCAGTATCCTTGCTTGGAGAAGCCCATGGATGGAGGAACCTGATGGGGTACAGTCTATGGGGTTGCCAAGAATCAGACCCAGCTGAGCGACTAAGCACGCATTGCTGACTCACGGTGTCATACGGCGGACACTGACACAAGATTGTAAAGCGAGGCTACTCCCTTTTTAAAGAAGTAAGCACAAAAATGATCTTTGTCTCTCTGGAGCCCTCATCCCTACCTCTTAGGTAGGTGCATCTGGAATGGGGGAGGGGCGGTGAAAAACCTCAGAGATGCAAGCTCGAGGTCGTTACAAACTGGAGAGGCCAGCACTGAGCTTTCCTGGGGGAGGAGCCCACTCACCTAGGAGAAGGCAGGGACTCGCACCAGAGCTCTCCATGCAGCTGCGACCCTGGCACCGACACTCAGCTGTACCTCACCTGCGTGTCATGAATGTGAGTTCCAGAGAGGGGCAGTCACGGCTGCTATCCTCCCTCTGTAAGCAAAAAGAGGCCCTTAGAGCTGCCGTGACTTGCCCAGGGTTACAGAAGCGTGGCAGTGAGTCAGATGGAACGGTGTGTGTTTGGGGAAGGGGGTGAAGTTATACGCGAAAGGCAAAAGACTCAGGGACATGTCTGCACCTCCTCTGAAGCTCACAGAACAACGGTCCAGGGCTGGGGATGAGCTTTACGTTGGCTGTGGATCCCGAAAGCATCTCTGACCTCCTGCCCCTCCCTACGCCACCTCAGCAGCCTGCCCAGGGTTACTCACCAGGTTCTGGCTAACTGGACGCCTGTGCTCATGTCTCTTCTTGTAAGTTTCATGTAAGGCTATTGTAATGACGAGGAGGCACAACGAGGAAGAATGAATCAAAGATCTTCCCCGAGGCCTCGAACCAAAAGGGCGGTTTTCTCTGGAGAAGTTCTGATTTTCCTCTTATATTTTGCAGAAATGAATGTGCATCAGGATGACTGACAGAATTATGATGTTTATTCCAAGCACTGATTTTTTTTTTTAACCTCAGGTTATTTTACTCTGCTCTACTTTTCCTGTAAAAAAGAAAGAATAATGCTTCCTCACTGTGACATTGCATGAGAGAAAACCGCCCAGGGCAGTACCGTTCAAAGGAAATTGCTAATTGCACCAGGCACCAAAGCATGATGGGAAATTCTCATCAAGGATGTGTGTAGCGTACTAGCCCACCCTGGGCCACTTCATCGCCACAGAGCATGCCCAGGGAGCTCTGAGGCCCTGAAGAATCACTCTCATAAGTAAGTGATGGCAAGAATCCTTGATCCAACAAGAAAAACACTCAAAGAAATTGGGAATCAATGGTCTGATGTTTCGGTAGCAGTCGGAGACTGCATCACTTTGTGGCCCGTTTTCTTTCATTTTTAAAGATGAGAGAGGGAAAGACAGCATTCATCACTAAGGGATGCCTGGTAGTTTTCCAGGTGATGAGGGGGCGGCCTGAGTTCAGTCAGAACAGACCAGCTTCCTGGCAGCATCCTCAAGTGACTATTATTCTCAGCAAAGATCTTATGGAGTTTTCACTGTTCTGCCCGATGTCCGAACCCCCGAGCGGGATGAGAGAAGGCTTCCAAGACAATGCAACTCGCAAAAAGGGAAGTTTATTGCTGACTCGAGCCAGGGCTTCTGCCGCATCCAACACAGTGGTGCGGGGTCAGAGAGCCCCGAGCCCAAGCTGTTACCCAAATTTATAGGGTGTGCATAAGCGGTTGGTAGCTGGCTTAGGCGGATTGGTTACATGTTTGCAAAGCAATTCCATTGGTACAAACTTTCGCGGGCTTTTGTTCAAACTTAGGCATTCGCAGGCTTTTCCGTGTTCCCTTTGTTCCCTTTTGGGCGCCTGTTGATTGGCTGGCTCCAGGTGGCCTGATGGGGGTAGGGAATCTTACCATTTCAGGGGAAACCGAAACTTAGGTCCGGGCCGCCTGTCATGGTGTTAGCCCCGGCAGCCCCACATTCCCCCCTGTCTTTGTTTCTATGGAAGGCCCAATCATGGGTCTTCTATATCATCTGTGGGGACAGTCGAATATTGAGATCTGAGTAACATTAGGTGGACGGACACGCAGTGTGTTTTCCCTAACAACTCCCCCTTGACAGACTTCATACTCAAGATGCTTTTTGGGATTTGGGGCGGAGGTCTCTTTCTTCTGTAACTTCTTCCTGCTGTGCCTGGGCGTAGGCCTGCCTAGCAGAGCAGAAGTCTCTCTATACCTGACCTAAGTTGGGGTGTTTTATATCTGAAACCAGCATTTACTCTTGTAATAACAGCAACTTAGTTTGCAACTGTTGGCGCCTCTCAGAGATAAAATAGACAGGGCCAAACAGGAGACCTAACAGGATGGTCATCACTGGTCCTCAGAAACAGGAGGCAACATTTGGGGTGATTGGCTGGTGGTCAAGCAACAGAGCTGTGTTCTAGGAATCTTGTGCTTAGTCTGAAGTTACCATCCTCCACCTGGGTGGGGGCTCCAGTTCTGTAGAAGAACTCAGAAGACATTGCTATGCATATTTCTTTGAGTAGGAACCAGGGCCCATCTCAAGGCGGTACCACCATTTGATGGTTTCCCTTCTGTTTCTGTATTTCTTCCCTTCTCTGATTAGCAATTGTTTGAATCTACCCTTTGGAACTCAGGGAAGGTCAAGGGGGCTGAATAAAGCCTATATCCTACAGTACAGCAGATCTGTACTCCAGAGTCGCCACCCCGCAGAGTCCTGCTCAGTTTTAATTTAGGGAACAGGGCAACTATGACTGTGATAATTTCTTGTCAAAATGGGGCATAGGACTGCCTCAGCTTGGAGAAGAAACACTGAATTGGAAGTATTCCTGAGTTCCAAGTCTTAGATCTGAGCCTTGTATGATTAAAATCTCAATCCCTTGGTCTGCCATTTTGTTGTAACATACCCAGTTAGTAGTAGCTGGAGAAGGGATAACTGGAGTTTTAATAGACAAAGTAAATCTCTTTCTTTTAGAAGAATAGGCCTGAAATCCAGTCTGGACCTGGCACTTCAGGGAGACGTGTAGCCAGGTGGCCAGTTGCCTAGTTTTATAAAAAGTAAGGTAGAAGTTACACCCATAGTAACACCTGGTTATTTCCCAGGATGTCTGAACCATAGCTGAGTACTTTATTTTGACTTTTAATTGTAAAATTTTCTTTAATAGCCAAGCAGATGGCACCATTAATGATGTCAGTGTTTCTCTAGGTACGAGAAGATGCAAGAATTGGGACTCATAAAATCTCTTGAAAAGATCTAACTATCTGAAGGCCTGTTTTGCCAGTTTTTCCCAGAGCACGGAATGCGTCATTCTTGATCTTCACCCTGAACTCCTTTCAGGGCCATTGAAAGTCAGCAGTTGCAGTGGCCATGATATAATCTCCGTAGATGTAGATGGCAAGTGTCAATCTTCAGTTGGCAGAGCCCCTTTCTGATCACAAACTTGACCACAACTTTGAGGGGGGTCATTTCATGACCATTTTATCCCATGGTGCTGAGAATGTCCATTCTCAGGTTTGGCAAAGATTTTGTCGACTGGCCTCTCAATGTGCTGTTACTGGACTAGGCCATAAAACAGTATCTAAAATTCTCTGGACCACCTGACTTACTAGCCTCTTGGTCCAGGAAAACATTCCCTCTTGTTGCTTCTTCTCATATCTAGAGTTACATTGTCATTGTTATTGATCTCATAGGGAACTATATATCATTTTATCAGAGGCCTCAGTCACACATTTGGCACTGTAAGAAATAGCAATTTTGTAAAACAGGTGAAATACAAAGAACATAGCCAGCAGTATTAGTAAAGTCACAGGTAAGACCTAACAGCTTCCATTAGATGTAGCCCAGTATATCCCAGGTCATCTGACTTAGTCTACTCTGTACGAATCTTAATCTTTCAGGGAAATTATACATTGGTACCACCATCTATAAGGCACACAGCCCTGTTTACTAGTGTTACTAGACTGATTATCTTTAGTATGATTTAATTGTTTTTAACACAGAGGAGACTTTAAACCTAAATTACCATAGCCTGGTGTTATCTATATAAATCTATCGCATAATTGTGGGACATTTCTTTTTCTTTTGTTAAAACTTTTCTTGTTGCTCTGATTGAGCTTGAGGAATAGAAAAAGGCTCAAATTTATAGCCAGAGTCAGAGTAGGCATTATTAATTGGCCCAGTGAGGGGATCCCGTCTGGTAGTATCATAGTAACCTGAATATGACTATAATTTTTCCAAGTAAATCTCCTCAGGGCCAACCAGTTAGAGTCTTGTAGTAGAGAAATTTACCAAGGTAACCCAGAGCTAGACACAGATAATTGGCCACAAACCCAACAACTGGATTGATTTTTAAAACTAGCATAGTATCAGGCCTATGATAGAAAAGCATTTGATTTATACACAAAGGTCTAAGAAGTCAAGAGAACACTATAAACGATCATACGAATCAGGTCCAGTATCTTGGACAAGCTGTCTACCTCTGATGTCGTTGTCTTCTCATCCTGGTGTACTGTAGTTTTTCTTGTTTGAGCATCATTTTAAGGTGAGATCAGGTCAGCTGTCTTCTCTATAGACCAATCCAGTGTAGGGGCCTTTGGAAGTGGGAATTAATCTAAGAGTTAATTTCCCTTCAGTTTCATTGTGCATGAGCTAGTTAAGAGTACCTGATAAAAAGTCCTTCCATCCAGGTTGGAGACAGTCTCTTAAATTATGTCTTTTTCCAGTCCTGGCTGCAGGTCATGAGGCATCTGATCTTTGTCCAAAGATAGATTACTGAGATAAGCTTCAGAAACAAACTTTCACATTAATATCACATAACAGAATTGATCATAGACTTTTTATTTTGCTGAAACACTTATAGGATCTCAGACTGAACTTTTAATATAAAACAGGGCTGGGAAACTCACACCAAAGGCTTATCACAGATTTTGCCTAACAAATCTAGGTGAACTCTTTTCTTTTAAGGTCTCAAAAATTCCTTGAGATTTTTGTACCTGTTAGTGAGATAACCTTTTTAGCTCATTTGATAAACTTACTGGGAACTTAAGAGTTTCAAATTTCTGTAGGAATCAGATAGAGAGAAAATATAATTATTTTGTTTATAACATGTAATTTTACCAAATTATTTTTATAATTAGTTTAAGAGGAATGTTTTCTCTACTCCCGGAAAACACACGATTTAAACCTGTAATTTCTCAGATAGGAACCATAAAAGTTATAAGCATATTCGCTGGTTCATTCAGTCCTTTGTTAACTTTTGTGAAGTCATCAGGTTTTTCATTAGAATACCAAGACATATCAAAATGTTAAGAACTCCATATAATTTCTAGGATATCTGTATTAGTAATTTTTCATACATTATAACATGAGCGGATTTATTACTCATTTGATAATCTTTTTCATGTAATTTAACCAACCAAATAAACAGCTTAATATCTCTTTGGGATGTTTCAGGGGCCCTCTGAAACACCCTAAAGTTAGCTAGATGTCAAAGGAACTTTAAAGGAATTCGATTCAGGAAGTTTTATCGAAAAGATCAATTAAAAGCTTTAGAACATTTGGTCAGATTCAGTCAATGTTGATGGGTGTATCATTTAGCTTGTTGATATGTCACAATGGGCGCAAATACCAAGGCTCAAGGTCGAGTGAAAGTCAGCTCTGCCATCTTGGACCTAGTTGGCTTTAACCAGTTTTCTTATGACCGTGTCATTCTTAACAAAATCCATTTATTTAACTAATTGTAATCTAATTTTAGAAAATCTTGATCATGCATAACTCTTTTTAGTATTTTCTTTACACTCTCTTTTTTTTACTGAAAGCACACTTCTTGCTTTTATTTTTTAGCAACCAAGAGCTAACTTTTATATTAGCATTTTTTAGATTGGTGAGCATAAATACCAGTGATAATTTTTAAAACCCTTGTTTTCTTAAAACATTTTAGGATGGCATCAAACATTATTCATTTATAGTCCCAAATCTCTTTAGTTTTTCTGTAAAAGGAAATCAGTGTTTAGTAGTAAATGTTTCAAAATCTTATTTCATTTGGAAATGACCTAATTATTTAATAGACTTCTAATACTTAGTTTAGCACAACCCTTAGAAATTCAAGTTACACCAATCTGGAGAAACTATTTTAAACAGATATTTTTAAAGAATAATTATTTTTAATAGAGTTTATATACAAACTCATACCTCATTTACATTTTTAGAAGTTTTATTACTCGAGGTAATTTCCTTGTCAACAAACCTGTAACAGGCATAATATTTAACTTATATTAAACCTAGGTACAATGAAAATATTTCACTTGATGTCAATTACTCTAAGACATGTCTATATTAGATAGGTCAACAAACATTAATATCAGGTATTTAATACTGAATATTTTCTAGTTCACCTAAACCTGGAATTTATTGTTTAATTTAGAATTATTTGATTTGTACGCGCTTATCCCTTCTTAAGCCAATTAAATAGAGCTCATTTACAAATTAACCTAAAAATATTTTCCAGAGATAAAGACATACCAAAACATATTTAGACAGATACAGTGCAAGATCTATCCTCATTTTCTAAGTTTGGTCATGAATTAGATATTACAATATAAAATTTAAATAAATAACATTTTTAAAGGCTTCTTTTTTTCCTTTTCTTCTCAGTCTCAGGGGTTAGAGATGGTCTAGATGAGTGTTCCTGAGAGCCCTGGTCTCAAGGCACAGGGAAAGAAAATCAAGTTTTAACAAAACGGCGGCAGGTCTAAATGGTGGCCAGACAAAGCAAAATAGCCATCACAAATCACAACACAGAACAGAGTTAAAACACACATATAAACCTGGCAGTCCTCGTCAGACACTCCCTTAAATACAAGAATACAGTCTCTCAGAAAACCTTCTATAGAGACACAAAACTTCAGATGTCCTCAAAGATTTCAAAAGGAGGAAAGGAAGCCAGGTTGAAAGAAGAAGGAGGAGGAGGACCAGAGACAACGCCGGCACACACAAACAGGGAGAGCCGAAGACAAACACACGGACAGACAAACGTCGGCCGATGACATAGCGCTGGGTTTTCGGGCCCCCTGAACTCTCTTGCCTCCCGGTAGCAGGTTCACCTTACCGAATGGCGTCCACTTCACCAGACTCGGGGTCGGGAGAGGAACTCTCCTTCCCGCAGAGCCGGCTGCCTTCCAGCACGTCCACTGGCCTCGGCCTTACGCCGGCTGGAACGCCCAATCCGTTCCCCCCTTTACAGAAAGCCTTCCCGCGGAGTCGGCTGCCTCCCAGTGCATCCGCTGGCCTCGGCCTTACGCCGGCTGAAACGTTTAATCCGTTCCCCCTTTACAGAAAGCCTTCCCGCGGAGTCGGCTGCCTTCCAGCGCGTCCGCTGGCCTCGGCCTTACGCCGGCTGGAACGTTTAATCCGTTCCCCCCTTTACAGAAAGCCTTCCCGCGGAGTCGGCTGCCTTCCAGCGCGTCCGCTGGCCTCGGCCTTACGCCGGCTGGAACGCCCAATCCGTTCCCCCCTTTACAGAAAGCCTTCCCGCGGAGTCGGCTGCCTCCCAGTGCATCCACTGGCCTCGGCCTTACGCCGGCTGGAACGCCCAATCCGTTCCCCCCTTTACAGAAAGCCTTCCCGCGGAGTCGGCTGCCTTCCAGCGCGTCCGCTGGCCTCGGCCTTACGCCGGCTGGCCCCCCTTTACAGAAAGCTGTCTCCTGCGCCAGATACCTTCCTGCTTCCCAGCAGGGCCTCGGATTTACACTGGACTTTCTTGTCCTGAGCACCAGTGTCATTATTTATCCTTTCCCTCTGTCCTGGAAGTGTTCTCTTCCCCCGGTCAAGGGATCCCGGACGAGCCCCCAAATGTTCTGCCCGATGTCCGAATCCCCGAGCGGGAAGAGCGAAGGCTTCCAAGACAATGCAACTCGTAAAAAAAGGGAAGTTTATTGCTGACTCCAGTCAGGGCTCCCACCGCATCCAACGCAGTGGTGCGGGGTCAGAAAAGCCCCGAGCCCGAGCTGTTACCCAAATTTATAGGGTATGCATAAGCGGTTGGTAGCTGGCTTAAGCGGATTGGTTACATGTTTGCAAAGCAATTCTATTGGTACAAACTTTCGCGGGCTTTTGTTCAAATTTAGACGTTCGCGGGCTTTTCTGCTTTCCCTCATGTTCCCTTTGTTCCCTTTTGGGCGCCTG